TTGAAGTACAAACTATATTTTGAAATTGAAATTGGTGGAATAAATGGCAGAAATGTGGTAAAGAAATGAAGAAATGAAAATGGAAGCTAAGGAAAGCTCTCCTCACAGTGTTCTTTGAATTAGTATCTTTTGAGTGTCCACAGTAAACTGATATGGAAATCCTTACAAGGAAGTGGTCTCTTGCTGCTCCCACACTCTTCTCACCTTTCTGTGACCTTGTGTCTCATATTCAGTTAAAATTTCCAACAAAGACATTTGAAATCTTATTCTGAAGTTAACTTTTAAATATAGATAAGTAGAAAGTGTTTTTAAAGTACATGGTGTTATGTCTCAACTTACGATTGCATGTGATCAGAAACATGATCGTTTACACTGGTTGCCAATTAGTGGTTTTCAAGATCGTCTTAGTGGTTTTCAAGACTGTAGGCACTGAGTAAGCTGGCTAGAAGCATTTCTGCCAAGTTCAGGAAGGTACACTGAGAACCAGCTCTTGAAAAGTTTCCTGTGTCTTAGTGTTTCAGTAGAATTTAAGGAATTTATATCTGCACATGCCATTTCTCCTTTTCAAATAATGTTGTCAGTGTTCTTTTTTCGGCTGGCATCTTTTCTTCTGTGATTGGAGCTTCATCATTTTCCCTGCTCCTTAATTTTAGCCAGAAGTTGATAGTATTATGTGACTAGTTTTCTTTCACTGCCCATCAGAGCCATCTTTTACTGGCCTCAGCTCTACTCTCTTGTCTTTGAGCATTAATAAATAAAGCAAGCCCATTGTGGTCTGATTATCTACAGTACTGGAGAACTCTTACAGTAAATGTGTCCTCATACTCGGCCAGGTGGCTTCTCTTCCTACCTGGAGCTCAGTCCCATTGTTTATGAGATGCTAGGAACCTCGTCTGTCAGGACATCATCGAGCTTTGGTATTGCCACTGGTCCATCTTGTCTTTCCGATACCTGAAACAGCTTGCTTCTTAAAAGCTCAGGTATAGGAGCTGGGGAGATGGCTCAGTGGGTCAGAGCACTTGAGGATTATGTTTGGCTCCCTACAGACCATATAAAGCCAGGCTCAGTGATATAAGTCATCCTGCACTCTGGTGGCAGGATGAGAGGTAGAAACAGGAGAATGCTCAGAAGATTGTGAGCTGACTAGTCTGCCGTAGACAGTGACAGAGAAGGGACCTTATCTCCGCCAGCAAAATGAGGGTGAGGCTTGGCATGCAGACTTGCTCATTGATATCCACGCACCCACTGTATCATGTGTACACACACACAAACACACACACCAGAAAAAGGATTTTTAAAAACTCAATCACAGAAAGAAGCTTTTAGAATACTAGTGTTTCTTTTCTCTCTTAACTTCCTATTGAATTTAAATAAACAGTAATAATGACTGCAAGCAAATCCTCAGCAAGCAGATGACAGAAGGAAGTAGTAGCAAGTGTCCATTAGAAGCTGTAACTATGACAGATGAGACTCTTGGTTCAGTATTTCACCTAATGGCACTTAAGTTTGAAACAGATACATTTTCTACAAAACAAATCCAGGGTAGTGAAGTTCAATACATCAGACTTTCCAGTTGAGCCTTAGGAAAATGGAAGTTCCAAGTTTTGTGTGCCGGTTTTGTTCTACTAGGCCTCTGTCAAACTGTTTCTCTAGGCATGCATGAGTTAATCATTGGAGATGTATTCATTAGCAAAATTGTACCAAAATAAATTTCACTAAAGTTGTGGTGTTTAATTTAATAGTATTATGATAACAGCTGCCATAATTAATTTCAGATTTGCCTTCTTTCCCAAAGGACAAGAATGTTTGTAGTGTTGGATGCACACTTAAGGCACAAGAAAGAGGGCAAAAATAATGTCATGGCCTTCAGATCCTGTTTATGGGTTTTCCTTGTTGGGCCCTACGGGCTTAGGGAGCATTGTACATCTAAAATAAACCACTTAGGGTGTAAAAGATAAAACTGGGTTAATTGGGTTCACCTGATCCTTAGCTAGGCCTCCTCAGTCAACATAGCATTGCTTATTAGTCAAGGAAGCATGGTTTTTATAATTAGAACGTTATCTCTGAACTACACAAAAAAGACTCAAAGAATACTTTCTTCAAATAAAAGACTTATGATTTTTTTTCATTTATTGTTTTACTCTAGTTTGTTTTTAGGAGATGGCGATCTTCTTCTATTCATAGCAGGACTGTTGTGATATCAGGGCAGGATTCTTGAGAACTAATACCACTTTCTTTCAGAGAAGTGGACAGCACACTGCCCTTCAACTGTGTTCTGTGTTCACAATCCTAAGCTCCCAGGCTCTGAGCCCTGCTTTTCATTTCTCTTCAGGGTTTGTGTATCAACAAAATGAACTATTTACACATCCAGCTAAAAATCCAGAGAAACATGAAAATACAAATGTTAAAGTCTGTAAAGTTTTTGTAGCTGACCAAAAATGATGCCAGCAATTTCCCCAAATAGTGGTTTTTAAGCCATTTTCTTGTTTTAAATTAAAATTAATATTTTTCTTAATTTATTCACTTTATATTTCCATCATAGCTCCCTCTCATCTCATCCTGGTTCCGCTCTACCTCCCTCATCCTCCCCATCTCTCTTCCCTAATCCTCAGAAAGGGGGAACCTTCCTCCCCTACCAACTGACCCTAGTGTATCAAGTCTACAGGACCCTGGGCTCAGATTTGTTGGCTCTGTTGGTCTTCTTGTGGGGCTCCTTTCCTCTTTGGGTCCTTTTATCTCCCTACTCTTCCATAAGATTCCCTGTGCTCTGCCCAAAGTTTGGCTGTAAGTCTCAGCATCTGCTACTATCCTCTGGTAGGTGGAGTCTTTCACATCAATGGTAGGTACATCTGTGGTAGGCTCTCCTGTTCCCTGTCTTCAAACAGTTCCAGTGGCTATTCTGTTTGCTCTTCTGAATGAGAATTAAACATCCTCCCTAGGGTGCTTCCTTAGGTATGTGGATTGTAGTATGGTTATCCTGCATTATACGGCTAATATCCACATGTGAGTATATACCATGCATGTCTTTCAGGCTCTGTGTTACCTCACTCGGATGATCTTTTCCAGATCCATCCATTTACCTGCCAAATTCATGATGTCCTTGTTTTTAGCAGCTGAGTAGTATTCCCTTGTATAGATGTACCACAGTTTCTTATCCATTCTTCAGAGAGGGACATCTGTGCTGTAAAGCTGCTGTGAACATGGTTGAACACGTGTCCTTGTTAAATGGTGGGGTATATTTTGGATACTTACCCAGTAGTGGTATAGCTGGGTCTTGAGGTAGAGGTATTCCCAATTTTCTGAGAAAGCACCAGATTGATTTCCCAAGTGGTTGTATAGTGTCCCTCCCACCAGCAATGGAGGAGGGTTCCCCTTTCTCCACAACCTTGCCAGTATGTGCTGTCATTTTTGTGTTTTTGATCTTAGCTATTCTGATGGGTGTAAGATGTAATCTCAAGAGTCGTTATGATTTACATTTCCCTGATGACTAAGGATGTTGAACATTTTTTAAGTGCTTTTTGACCATTACATATTCCTCTAATGAAAATTGTCTGTTTACCTCTGCACCCTCTTTTTAATTCAATTATTTGGTTTGTTGGTGTTTAATTTCTTGAGTTCGTTATGTATTTTGGATATTAGCCCTCTTTTACACCACAGGGTTAGTGAAGATGTTTTCCCAGTCTGTAGGCTGTAGTTTTGTTAAGCTTTTCAGTTTCATGAAGTCCCATTTATTGATTGTTGATCGTAGAGCCTGGGCTGTTGCTATTTTGTTCAGGAAGTTGTCTCCTGACCCAACAAGTTCAAGGCTCTTTCCCCACTTTTTCTTCTAATAGATTTAGTGTGTCTGGTTTTATTTTGAGGTCTTTGATCCACATGGACTTTAGTTTTGTACAAGGTGATAAATATGGATCTATTTCCATTTTTCTACATACAGACATCCAGTTAGACCAGCACCATTGTTGATGATATTGTCTTTGTTCCATTGTATGGTTTTGCCATCTTTGTCAAAAATCAGGTGTCTGTAAGTGTGTGAGTTTATTTCTGGGTCTTTGATTCAATTCCATTGATCCTCCAGTTTGTTTCTATACCAGTACCATACAGCTTTTATTACTGTTGCTCTATAGTACAACTTGAGCTAAGGGATAGAGATACGTCCAGAAGTTCTTTTATTGTATAGGATGGTTTGAGCTATTCTGGGTTATTTTGTTTTTCAATATGAAGTTGAAAATTGTTCTCTCAAAGTCTGTAAAAAAAAAAATTGTGTTGATATTTTGATGGGCATTGCATTGAATCTATAAGCATTGCTTTTGGTAAGATGGCTATTTTTATTATGTTAATCCTACCAATCCATGAGCATGGGATATCTTTCCATCTTCTGATAAGTTCTTCAATTTCTTTTTTTAGAGGCTTGAAGTTTTTTTTATACAAGTCTTTCACTTCCTTGGTTAGAGTTACACCATGATATTTTATATTTTTTTGTGGCTATTGTAAAGGGTATTGTTTATCTAATTTCTTTTTCACCCCATTTGTCTTTGGTATACAGGAGGGCTACTGATGTTTTTGAGTTAATTTTATATCCAGCCACTTGGCCGAAGTTGTTCGTCAGCTATAGGAGTTCCCTGGTGGAATGTTTGTGGTCAGAGATGTATACTATCACATTATCTGCAAATAGTGATACTTTGACTTTTTCCTTTCCGATTTGTAGTCCCCTAATCTCCTTTATTTGTCTTATTGCTCTAGCTAGGACTTCAAGTACTAGGTTAAAGAGGTATGGAGAGAGTAGACAGCCTTGCCTTGTCCCTGATTTCAGTGGAATTGGTTTAAGTTTCTCTCCATTTAGTTTGATGTTGGCTATTGGCTTACTGTATATTGTTTTTGTTATGTTTAGGTATGGGTCTTGTATCCCTGATTGCTCCAAGATTTTTATCATGAAGGGGTGTTGGATTTTGTCGAAGGCTTTTTCAGCATCTAATAAGATATCGTGTGATTTTTTCTTTCAGTTTGTTTATATGGCGGATTGCATTGATGGATTTTGTATATTGAACCATCCTTGCATCCCTGGAATGAAGCCTACCTGACCTTGGTGGATGATGTGTTTGATGTGTCCTTGGATTCGGTTTGTGAGTATTTTATTGAGTATTTTTGCATCACTATTCATGAGGGAGATTGGTCTGAAATTCTCTTTCTTTGTTGAGTCTGTGTGGTTTAGGTATCGGGGTAACTATGGATTGATGGAATAAGTTTGGAAATTCATTCCTTCTAATTTGGGGAGCAGTTTGAGGAGTATTGGCATTAGCTCTTCTTTGAAAGTCTGGTAGAATTCTGAGCTAAAACCATCTGGCCCTGGGCTTTTTTTTTTTTTTTTTTGGGGGGGGGGGCTTTGATGATTGCTTCTATTCCCTAAGAGGTTATAAGACTGTTTAAACATTTTATCTGACCCTGATGTAGCTTTGTTAAGTGAATCTATCAAGAAAATTTTCCATTTTCTTTATGTTTTCCAGTTGTGTGGAGTACAGACTTTTGAAGTTAGACCTAATGATTCTTTGGAATTCCTCAGGGTCTATTGTTATGTCCCCCTTTTCATTTCTGATTTTGTTAATTTGGATATTGTCTCTCTGCATTTTAGTTAGTCTGGCTAAGGGTTTGTCTGTCTTAATTGATTTTGTCAAAGAACCAGCTCCAGGTTTCATTAATTCTTTATATTATTCTCTTTGTTTTTAGGATATTGATTTCAGCCCTGATTGGATTATTTCCTGCCATCTACTACTCTTGGGTGAATTTGCTTCTTTTTTGTTGTAGAGCTTTTAGGTGTGCTTTTAAATTGCTACTATGCAAACTCTTTGATTTCTTTATGAAGGCACTTAGTGCTGTGAACTTTCCTCTTACTACTGCTTTCATTGTGTCCCACAAGTTTGGGTATGTTTTACCTTCATTTTCATTGAATTCTATAAAGTCTTTAATTTCTTTATTTCTTCCCTAACTCTGTAGTCATTGAGTAGGAAGTTGTTTAGTTTCCATGTGTTAATAGGCTTTCTTTTGTTTCTGTCAATGCTGAGTTCCAGCTTTAATCTATGGTAATCTGATAAGATACAAAGGATTATTTCAATCTTTTGGTATAGGTTGAGACTTACTTGGTTACTGAGTATATGGTCAGTTTTGGAGAAAGTTCCATGAAGTGCTGAGAAAAGGGTATATTCTTTTGTGTTTGCGAGAAATGTTCTGTAGATATCTGTTATGTTCATTTGATTCATGACGTTTGTTAGTTTCATTATTTCTCAGTTTAGTTTCGGTCTCGATGATCTGTCCATTGGTGAGAGTGTGGAAGTCTCCTACTATTAATATGTGACCTTTAATGTGAGATTTAAGTTTTAGTAATGTTATTTCTTTTACAAATGTGGGTACCCTTGCCTTTGAGGCATAGTTGTTCAGAATTGAGATGGCATCTTGGTGTATTTTTCCTTCAATGAGCATAAAGTGTTCTTCCCCATCTCTTTTAATTAATTGTGACTGAAAGCCTATTTTATTAGACACTAGAATGGCTACTCCAGCTTGCTTCTTGGGTATGTTTGCTTGGAAAACCTTTTTGCAGCCCTTTACTCTGAGTTAATATCTATTTTTGTTGCTGAGGTGTGTTTCTTGTATGCAGCTGAACAATGGGTCCTGTTTTTATATTGATTCTGTTAACCTGTGTCTTTTTATTGAGGAGTTGAGGCCATTGATGTTGAGAGATATTAATGACCAGTGGATGTTAATTCCTGTTATTTTGATTTTGGTGGTAGGGTAGAAAGGCAGGGGGAGGGGGAGGGGTGTGCTTCCTTTCTTATGTTTTTGCTGATGTCGAGTTATTTATTACATATGTTTTCCTGGGTGTAATTATCCTTTTTGGGTTGGAGTTTTCCTTCTAGTATATTCTGCAGGGCTAGATTTGTGGTTAGGGAATGTTTAAATTTGTTTTTGTCATGGAATATACTGTTTTCTCCCTCTATGGTGATTACAAGTTTTGCTGGGTATAGTAGTTGGGGCTGGCATCTGTGATCTTAGTGTTCGTATCTACCTAGGCCCTTCTGGCTTTTAGCGTTTCTGGTGAGAAGTTACATTTAATTCTGATAGGCCTGCTTTTATATGTGACTTGATCTTTTTTTCCTTGCAGCTTTTGATATTCTTTCTTTGTTCTGTACATTTAGTGTTTTGATTATCATGTGGTGGGAAGATTTTCTTTTTCTGGTCCAATTTATTTGATGTTCTAAAAGCTTGTATGTGTATAGGCATCTCTTTTATTTTATTTATTTATTCACTTTACATCCCAGTCTCAACCCCCTTCCTCTTCTCCTCCTGCTCCTTCCCTCTCTCTTCCTCCATCCTCCTCCCCTATTCCATCAGATAAGGGGAGCCCCCTCCCCCTTCATCCACCCCAGCTTATCAAGTTGCATCAGGACTGAGCTCATCCTCTACCCCTGTGACCTGGCTAAACAGCCCCACCAGCAGAAAGTGATCAAAAAGCAGCCAACAAAGTTGATGTCAAAGTCAGCCCCTGTTCCCCCTTACTAGGTAACCCATATGAGGACCAAGCTGCCCATCTGCTACATCTGTGTAGTGGGCCTAGGTTCAGGCTATGCATTATCCTTGATTGATGCTTCATTCTCCATAGTCCACCCTCCCGCTCTCTGGTTAGTTGGCTCTCTTAGTGTTCTTGTGGAGCTCCTGTCCCCTCTAGGTCCTTCTATTCTTCCCCTACTCTTCCACAAGACTCCCTGCACTCCACCCAGTGTTTGGTTGTGAATCTCTGCATCTGTTTCCATCAGCTTCTAGGTGGAGCCTCTCAGAGGACAGCTATGTTTGGCTCCTGTCTACAAACATAGCTATCTTTAATAATGTCAAGGGTTGGCTGTCTCCCATGCAGTGGGTCTCATATTGGGCTGAATTGAGAATTCTCAACAGAGGAATCTTGAATTGCTGAAAGCCACTTGAAGAAATGCTCAACATCCTTAGTCATCAAGGAAATGCAAATCAAAACGACCCTGAGATTCCATCTTACACCTGTCAGAATGTCTAAGAACAAAAACAAAGTGACAACACATGCTGGTGAGGATGTGGAGAAAAGGGAACCCTCCTCCATTGTTGGTGGGAGTGCAAACTTATACAAGCACTCTGGAAATCAATCTGGTGCTATCTCATCAATTGGGCACAGCTCTACCTCAAGATCCAAAAGATGCTCCACCCTACAACAAGGATATTTGCTCAGCTATGTTTGTAGCAGCTTTATTCGTAATAGCCAGAATCTGGAAACAACCAAGATGTCCCTCAACCGATAAATGAATGAAGAAACTGTGGTACATTCACACAATGGAATGCTACTCGGCCATTTAAAACAAGGAAATCATGAAATTTGCAGGCAAATGGATAGAACTAGAAAAGAACATCCTGTGTGAGGTAACCCAGAAGCAGAAAGACACACATGGTATGTACTCACTTATATGCAGATTTTAGCTATATAGAACATGATAAACATACTACAATTCATAGACCCAAAAAAGATAATTTACAAATTGATTTTTTTTTTTTTTTTTGCCTTTTTTCTGGAACAGACTTTGAAGCAAGGGCATGTTAGATGAGTACTGTAGCACTGAGTAACATCCCCAGCTGTTTGCTCTTTAACTAGGACAGCTTGAGATAGGAGCAAACATTTGTTACAGTTGAGTATATGGGAAGTACTTTCTTAGTCAGGATTGTTATACTATTATTTTATTATTATTTTGACAGAATTGAACCTCAGGGTACTCAGATTCTCTTAATCTTGAGAAAGCCTGAATTCCATCATTGATTAGAAGTCTGTGCTTTTCAACAGTGAAATAAAGCACACTCATTTCGGATAGGCAGTTGCTTATAAAGTTAGATAGCATGCTACTCATAGGTTTTATTCAACAACAACAAAAAAAAACATTTATCTGCATAGAAATTGGACACCCACATTTTAATACATGTATTTTTGATAAGCCAAAGCTGACAAATCCCACCAGTGAGTGAATGCCCAGTAAATGGAATCCTGTCACCAAACTCAAAAGATCTCTAGTGAGGAGTGCAGCCCAGCTGTAGCTGTCACCTGTGGATTCAGCAGTTGTTGTAGCATCGACTGCAAAGTCTTGAAGGACTGTCAGCTGTTGTATTTTACAGTCACAAGTCACAAGATGACAGCAGAACCAAACATGAAACAAGGTCTCTCAGACAGTCAGACTATGTCTGTAACGTGTAAAGAAAAGCTGGGCACAGTGGTACATGCTTGTGTCCCCATCTCTGATACATGAGGAGAAGGATCCCAGGTTTGAGACCAGCCTAGACTACATAGCAAGCTCCTTCTCAATCAACAAGCTGGAGTGATAGCTCAAAGGTAGACTATGTACCTAACGTACATAAGGCCCATGTTCCATTTCCAGCATGAGGACACACAGCTCTCTCAAAAGTTGCTAGTTGTAAGACACCAAAAGTCTCATTGCCTTTTTTTATATTTTCAGTTTAATATTTTCACATTTCAAGATCTACTGGCCAAATTTATTATGACATTTATTCTGATGACAGCATGTCTGTCTGGTGATGTATGACATGTTTATTCCCTAGGAGATAGTTTTCTGGAAATTCTAATCTAGATGAACAGTTACACTAAATCTCTTGGTCAGTGCCCATACAAACGGAGGGGAGCATGCCACACAAATTCTCAGCATGAGCTAATGTCAGCAGGCTCTGAGGCATGCTGACACAGGAGATTGTGTCTTCTCCTCGGAGGCCCTTTAAATTTACTTGTAGGACACTTGGCATGGCATTGTAACGAAGACAAGCAGCGCCTGCCGTAGACTCCGTCAATAGGAAGGAAATGGAAACTTTTTGTTTCCAGCATCATCAGGTTGGTGACTTCTTCAAGTCACCAGCTTACCTGATTTTGTGCCAAGTAGATTCATCATCTTATTTCTGAACTCTCATTAAATGCTATATAGTAACTAACATTAAAAGCAGTTTTAGATGTGATTTATTAAGTTTATTATATTAACTTTTGCTGTTAACTGATAGTTTCACTGTTGGATTTATTTCTTTTGATAGATTTTTCTATGTAAATATACTTTTCAGTTTTTCAAGTTTTTTTAAAGAGCCAGATTCTGATTTTCACAGATCCTTTTATGCCTTAAAGGAAGCCATGGAGGCTAGTGCCTTGCCATGGTACCCCAAATGCATAGGACTTCCCTTCTGTGAGATTTGAAAACTACAGTCGGGTTTTATGTTATTGTTTAATTCCTCTTCGCCTCTGATATTTTTATGTAATGAACTCTCATCCTACATAAATCATAAGATAATACATTATGATTATCCAGTGTTTTCTTTAGTGTTAGTATGCTAATTGCACAATATATTTATTTTTTAATCAAATTAAATGTAATCCAGCCACAGTTTATGCCTCTCCAGTTTTCCACTGTATATACCAACACATTGGAAGGATAGTTAAACTTATTCTGAAGCTCCTGAAAAGCCGAACAGTCTTGAGTGAAAAGAACAAATGCACTATAGGCACATGTTTTTCCTCCCAGCTCCAAACTACCAGAATAATTGACTCATGAAACTGAAAATGTATTTACCAATACCTAGGCCATATAGCTAGGCTCTTCTCTGACTAGCATGCAACTTAAAAGTAACACATTAATACTAATCTACATTCTGCTGTATGGATGGTTACCTCTGCTCAAGTACCACACGTCTGTTGTCCCATTTTCATGGGCGAATCTCCCACAC